ATATATATATATATATATATATATATATATATATATATATATATATATATATATATATATATATATATATATGTCGTACCTAGTAGCCAGAATGCACTTCTCAGCCTACTATGCATGGCCCGATTTGCCTAATAAGCCAAGTTTTCCTGAATTAATATATTTTCTCTAATTTTTTTCTTATGAAATGATAAAGCTACCCATTTCATTATGTATGAGGTCAATTTTTTTTTATTGGAGTTAAAATTAACGTAGATATATGACCGAACCTAACCAACCCTACCTAACCTAACCTAACCTATCTCTATAGGTTAGGTTAAGTTAGGTAGCAGAAAAAGTTAGGTTAGGTTAGGTTAGGTAGGTTAGGTAGTCGAAAAAACAATAATTCATGAAAACTTGGCTTATTAAGCAATTCGTGCCTTGCATAGTAAGCTGAGAAGTGCGTTCTGGCTACTAGGTACGACATATATATATATATATATATATATATATATATATATATATATATATATATATATATATATATATATATATATATATATATATATATATATATATTATAAATGTTAGAAGATTGTATGTTATATATATATATAATATATATTTATTTATTTACATATTTTTTTATTTATATATAAACGATTCGTTTATTATTATTATTATTATTATTAATAATATTATTATTAATATTATTAACTGCAGCATTAGTCGTAGCAGTATCAATAGTAATAGTTATACCAATATTATCAATAGGGCTATTTGCAATTGTATTAGTAGGTATATTATTATTATTATTATAATTAGTATTAGTATTGTTATTATTATTAGATATTGATAGAGAATTATTATTTATGGTTGGTGAAGCATCTTTAGATGCCAATGGGTAAGTGTGATCTTCCAAATTAGAGATTGTATTTACATTCATATGACGATAACGTTGTCGTAGGGCCATTCGTGCATTGCTACCCCAGTGAATACTTTCATCATTTGTAAGCAATTGGTTAACTTCACCAACGCCACCCTCACCACTAAATTCTTCATCTTCTTCATTTCCACCTTCCATGATTATTTCACCTTGATTAATAAACCTTTTTAAAAACTCCTTAACGTTTGAATGTCCTAAAATTTCACTAATAATTTTAAAAGATAAAATATAATTCTTACCTAATTGTCTTGAAAGACTGTTAAAAGTACGTGTAGCAAAATCAGCTCTGAGTGAATGGAGACCTGCCCCTTTTAAATCTTTTTGAACACTATATTCTTCATCAAGGGATAGTTTCTGATTTCTTTCTTTAGCAACTTTCCAAAGATAACTTTTAAAAACTTTATGTGTACTCTGGTAACTAGAATCAAAAATAGGTTTCTTGAGGTTATCTTGAGATGATTTCGGGGCTTTTTAGTGTCCCCACGGCCCGGTCCTCGACCAGGCCTCCACCCTTGGAAGGCTGAAGCAACCCGCCTTTCTTTTGAGGAATTGATATGTGCAATAACTTGGAAGTCATATTAATTTATAATGGGACCAAAGAGCCAATGTTATTCAAAACTCCCTCACAGTGACTGACATGGGTACATCACCGACCTCAAGAAGAAGAATACAAACCTCTGGCAGGAGATTGCTGATTTAAAAAAAAAACTTTCGAACAGTTGAAGGCTGCCTCATTTCATTTTTAATTCCACTGTAATTTTCACTAAATAAAAGTGTGTATGAATTATAAAATATATTGCTTTATTTTTTTTAATTTTGCCTTTATTATTCTAGTGTACATAGGTAGGGGAATGGGGCCACCTTTTAATTTCACTGTAATTTTTCACTAAATAAAAAGTGAGCCCAGAATGGGAACAGATGTATAATTAAAAAGTAAGATGATAATGTCAGTATGGCTGGCACTAGTTCCGGTGAGTGTCAGTACAAGTTGTCATATGTCGGTATTGTGAAGACTGTCTAGATACGTGAAGGTGGGATTGGAGTGAATGAGGACGACGCCTTGCACCCACCTCCTCCAAATAGAGGCGAGGGGGGACAGGAGACATTTATAGCTTTTTGGAGACATGATAAATTTAAGCTATCTCATTGATATATCAAGTGATTCTCCCATTGAAGTTGGGGAGAAGAAAAACATCTACTTGGAGCAGAGGAAATAATCATTAAATTTTGTGTGTAAAGTTACTTCACCCGATTATCCCACGCTGGGCTGGATGGGCATCATTCATCTTTAAAAATTCGTATGTACAAAGTAGTGGGTAATTTTTCTTCATATTTAAAAAAACTACGGATAGTTATGATGAGGGTATACTCACACACAACATATTTGTGTTTTTTCAGGTGGTAACTTAAGTTGTCATCACACCCATTAAACAAAACCAATTCATCATCTTGAAATACTACTTTAATATGGTGTATTTCAATTTTTACCTGTGATGAGACCTTCGACATCAAAATCACTTGATAGGTATTTTCAAGCTTGACTCCATTATTTTGTCTCATGAATAATTCATATTTTATTCCCCACTTTAGTAGTATTTCTTCAAGTTTTATTAACATAATCTTTACAGATTCAATTTCCCATATTTTATTGGGGTTAGTAGGGTTGGGTTCAGTCTTTACAGATTCAGCTTCCCATATTTCATTGGGGTTCATTGCTTTGCTTGTTGGGTTGGGTTCACTCAGAGTCTTATCATTTTCAAAATTTGCTGTTGTCTCGTTAATATCAGTCATAATGGTGATCTATTTGAAATCTGTGAATGTAAAAAAAAAAAAAATATGTTAAGGCATATGTAACTTAACTGATTAATCAACATTTTTATCTAAGATAGTATAAGGTGATGCAGGACTAATAATTAGAGATTTAAGTAGCCAGAACGTCGTATTTGGCCTGCTATATAAATAAGACCAAACAAGACCCTACCTTACCCAAACTAAGTCAATATAATTATATTATCTTATTATATTATAATATTATCAAAGTGAACTCACTAGATACAGCACAGGACTAGGGTTGTAACTGACAGTTGAATTCTTTTATATATATCTTTTCAATTCTGACTTGAGGAGTAGGAGGAGGAGGGGGGGGGGAGTGGAAGGTGTGGTATGATGCAGGGGTGTGCAGGCCCAAATGCGTCTTCCCATAATGCATAGTTAAATCGCCTTCAAGTATTTCTGATTGGCAAAAAAGAAGAAAAAATAGTGAGATTAAATGGGGAGCACGTAGGTCAATGTTGTTTAGCTGGACATTGTCGAAGTTGGGTGTTCCAGATAAAGGTAAATAACATCTTTAGTGTGTAATTATGGATAAATTTCAATGTAATTATGAAATGCATGAATTAATGTCAATTTCTGAATACACTTAGATGTTTGTCATTTTTAAACTTGGTATACAATATTTCTAAATCCAGTATTACCATTCAAAGTACATAATTACATTATTTTTTGGAAAACCAGGCAAATGTTGTGTACAATGCAGAAGTTGTGAGGCAAGCATAAAATGTGTAGACTGCTTTCATTTTTTTGTGTCATAAATGTGATCAGCAGCAGCATTTTGTAATGCCTTTCCACCAGCGATTCTGCTGGAAAAATGGGTTCTTCGAGCCTTTAGACCCAACACAAACTGTGTGTTCAGATGGGAATGTCATTCACTGGAGTATGTAATGTACCTGTAGTCTGTTTCTTATACTCTCATTTCTATCCTGAACCAAGCAGTGTTTTAAAATTTTATTTAGTTCATGTAATTTTTTAGTAGTTTTTGTATTGGTCATTTTCCTCATTAATTATTGATTACCTCATTAATTACAGATTTTTAGTTAAATAAATGAGTTTTTATTTGTCATTAAATATAAATCTTTCATGTAACTCCAGTTAATGCTAAAAAAATTATTAGTAATTTAAAATGTAATGATTGAAACATGTATTTATTTTGCTGCATAGCTGATCTTGTAAATTTAATTGTTACCAGAGCCTGTTGTACCAGCACATCCACCTAATTCCTGCCCGAACTGCAGTGAGAGCAAGTTCACAACTTTAAGCTCCAATAATTTGTGCATCTTTGTAACTTTAAGTGGTAGGTTACTTTAAGAAACGTTTATTTGATACTAGTATTGGTAGCTGGCATTGCTCAGGTGACCCAGGCTACAGTCTTCATCAATATCAAACCATTTATACTTCACTCTCATTACCACTGTATCTTCACTTATGAAGACATATTTATATCACATCCGTATTTATAACCATACAGAGAATTGTTTATGGGTTGGTTTACACATATATTGATAGCCACACTTGAATCCCTAGCCAAATAAAATTGTTTTACTTCAATTTTTTTTATTTTTTTGTGGGGGCTGGAAGGTATGATCTGTATACCCCAATATTTAGGTGCAAGTGCGGATATGTAGATGAAGAACTTGGGAAAGCCATGCACCAATCTGGTTTTTATTCAACTGGAAGAAATAGTAGCACTTTCTACAGCATAAATCTATTGGATTCCTGGCATTTTCTCAAGAGAAGCAGCCCTGGAACTTCTCTTAAGGCATTAGTTAGTGCACTGGAATTATTTGGTGCTTCTCGAGGGCGTGTAAGTTTTCATACCATTACTGTTTTAATAGTGCAAGTATTAAATTGGTGTATAAACTTAAAAACTAAGTTTGTTACTAAGCAAATGCATTGTCATTATTTAAGAAATAGGGTTAAATATTATTAAATTAATAAATAGCATGAATATTCTAAATATATATTTTATATATGTCTAATATCATAAGAAATGGAAATGGATTACCAATCTTTAACAATTTCTCTTTTTATGTAATGCTCATGTAAGTTTATTTTCATTTCCTGCAGGTATTTATAGTCTGTTGCTTAACATGCCACTGCTTGGCACTTTTTGATAATTACTTACACACATTTTACATCTTAGCATGGTCCCATAAATTTTGAGACAACAAAAAGAGTCTTCTTTGAATGGCGTTTCCATCAGTATGAACTTGGGAGAATAAAAGGAGAATTTGACAAGGGGTGCCTTGCATGTGATACAACACCTGTGGCTGTACATATTGATGGCAACAAGAAACTGTATCGTTACAACAAAGTTGGGAGGTAAATATTCAAGATAAAATATTTAATGCTGCTCATTATTGTTAAGGTATAATGTAAGGTGTAGTAATATGTTTGTAGTACTATAAACACAGCACTGTATAATATTTATATAGTGTCATGCAACTTTTAACCAGATTTTTTTTAATTGTTAATTGATTACACTTTTATTACTTGCCTTTCAACTTCAGTTGAATTTTTTTATTTGGACTAAGGCTTTACTAATTAAAAAATATTTATTTCACTATATACATTCATTTAGAATAGGAGGGATTATGATGTGAATGCCAGCTTGGGTAGTTGAATTAGTTTTAAATGAAATGATGTTTAACTGTCATCAAAATGTCTCACACAATGAACATTCATTAATTTAATATCATTCCAGAGGGATCAGAAACTCATATTATTCTGGTGGTATCTTCGCTTGTGACAAAGAAGTTCAAGATCACGTTTCCACTATTCAGAACCTTAAAACTCAAGTAAGAATATTTTTACATCTGTTCGAAAGCCTAAAAATAGGTTTTCAAATAGAAACCTAAGACCTAATACAAGGTTTTTACCCATACAATATTTGAAGAGTACCTTTATATATTAGCTTGAGACATTATCAATAATGTATATTAATTGGACGGTTCCTAACTATATCATGTTCAAAAAAATCTATAAAATATATGTAATGCATATTGAATAATGAAAAATATTACATAAAAAAATTACATTTATATATGACTAATATATATATATATATATATATATATATATATATATATATATATATATATATATATATATATATATATATATATATATATATATATATATATATATATATATATATATATATATATATATATATATATATATATATATATATATATATATATATATATATATATATATATATATATATATAATTTTACTTTTGTCCAACAGAGTAGCCATATGTGTGGAGTGTCGACATTGAAAGCTGCCAAAAATAAACCTGTTTCATTTAGAAGTTTGGATGAAACCGGCATAAGCATGGCTTCCTGTCGACATGGAATTATTCTTGCTGCATTAAATATGTATAAGGGAGAACTCTACAGTTATGCCCACTATTTGCAAATGAACCGTTTACAAAATGTGTCCTTCATATGCCAGGATATCATCTGTAAATACTGGCCATGGGCCTTAAATATTTCATCAAGAGAACAGAAGTTCTCAGTTGGGCAAGGAAAGCCTTTTTTAGGAGTCCTACATGCCAAAGGACATTCTTGGTATTGTCAGGTAAATAGTCTAATACTGTAATAATATTTTGACTTCGTTTTACTGTAAGTTGGAAAATATAATTTCTTTTAAACTCTTATATGTAAGGATTTATCTATGTTAAATGCAAATTGTTAATACAGTAGGTAGTTTTTAACAAACGTTATGCTATTATGTCAAAGGTTTTGTATGGAGGGCGGTGGCAAGAAGGAAGTTATTCTCTTATTTCGACCTCATTAGTGTTGCTCCCTGGAGCCAAGAAGCTGTACCCGACGTTCACTGCTGCCTATCAACGAGTCTTCCCTATTTGTTCCTGCCTACATTTATCCTGCTATCATGCAAAGTAAGGCCGGTAAGACCCTTAAGAAAGATAGCACACCTAACAAGAATAACCCTACTAGCCAGGCTAACAACATGATTAGTTCAGCTATCTCCCCCTCGGTGGCCGCCGTGGGGGTACCGACTCTCCCCCCGTCAACAATAACAAACAATCTCAGCTGGGCGCAGCGCCGTCTCTGACACGGGCCATGCAACAATTAGGTAGCCATATGGACCAACTTAAACGAGCTACTGCCCCTTGTTCTGACTTCAAGCGCTTTGCTGATAACCCTTGGCTCAAGTTATTAACTCAAGTACATGAAGATCAAATGACAGTAATCAAAGAGCAGTCGGCCTTAATAATGAACCTGCAAGGCTCATTATTATCTTTGCAGAATGAAGTTGTAGACTTACACAAGAACAATCAAGATCTATCTACCAAAGTCGTCAACCTCGAACAAGAATTAAGCATTCTCAAGAACACAGTTACAAACTTTAATCCAGATGCAACCACTAAAAAACAGGAAGAAATATTGCAACAGTTTGAGAACCATCTGAACAACCTACAACAACAACACACTGTTACCCAAGACGAGACAGACCAACATAAACTACTTGAGTCTGTAATTATCTCTTCACGTGATTTTCCCCAAGAAACTGATGGTGAAGACTGTGCTGCCATTGTGATCAAAGTATTGCAGGATAAGTTAAATTATTCGATCCAAAAAAATGACATCAAAGCAGCTTATAGAGTGGGTACCAAATCATCTGGTACTAATAATAGGCGTATTCGTTTAAAATTAGATAGCTGCTCCCACAAGACTGATCTTATCTCATCTGCAGTTGCTAGTAAATCCACTGTTTATGTGAATGAATGTCTGACCAGGTGCAGGCAAAATCTCTTTTTTAAACTGCGTGGCTTCTGCAAAAATTCCCTTACAATTAAACACTGTTTTGTGCGAGATGGTAAAATTATAGCTAGGAGGACTGACACTGGAAAAACCTATTCAATAACCACAGAAGCTCACCTTAATTCTTTCCTCAATGACTGTGGGATAGCTGCTGTATAGCCTGAATTCAGATTATAATCTCATATAACTACCTTTGTGTACTCTAGCTCTGCCTTTCCCTTCAAAAGGTTTTAACTTTAGTTAAAAAAAAAAAAAAAAAAAAAAAAAAAAAAAAATAATATTGTCATCTTTATTATTGTCTTTTTTTTTTCTTTTTACTCCCATGTTCCATAGTACACTGGCTTTGCCTGTGTCCTCTAGTATTAACTTCATTATCCAATGTTCCTGAGTGTATCTCTATTTAATCTACCTCAGTTTGTTTTAGTGTAACTTTAGTATTCAATTATAGTGTACTTATAATAGTATAGTAAGCTAGCTTATTATCTTATAGATTTCATAATTGTTTTTTTTACTTTTTTGGTCATCTATTGTTATTAATTATTCTAGTTAATTTTTTACATTCCTAGTTCCCATTAAGTTTTTTTTTTCTTTTTACTTAAAATTACCATTAAGTTTATTTTACTTTAGAATTTTTAATCTACTTTTTTCTTTGTTTTCTATTTTGTAATTTGCCATTCTTACCTTGTTTTCCTGCAATCAGCCTTTTTATGCAGACAAGTATAGACCCAGAACTAAACCTCTTATCCACTATCTATGACAATCATCACTTCAATGATCAAAATTGCAGATATTTTACAGCACATGATGTAAACAATGTATTAACAGATAATCTCAATATCTCTGTAATCAACTTGAACGTTAGATCCCTAGGTAAACACTTCGATGATGTTAGTGCCTTGATTGAAACTATTGACAACAAATTCTCTTTTATTATACTTACTGAAACGTGGTTGAAAGAGGATAATACTCAACTCTTTAACATGCCTAACTACTCGGCAATTCACAACTGTCGTCAAATGCAGAGAGGTGGTGGTACTGCTCTTTACTACCACCAAGAACTAACATGCTTAAAAATAATTAGAACTAGAGACTGCTGTGGGGAGTATATCTTCGCCAGTTTCAGAGTCAAGGGTGCCGAGTCTGTCCTGTCTGTGGGTGCAGTCTATAGAATTCCTAACACTGATGTGTCTGAATTCAACTCAAACCTTAGAAATCTAATACTAGATAACAGATTGAACAAAAACCATCTAATTATCGCAGGGGACTTTAATATTGACCTCTGCGAGCCTGAACACCCTACTGCTGTTAGCTTCCTCAACTGTATGAATTCCTGCTTCCTCATACCCTTAATCACTAGACCAACTAGAATCACTGATAGTACTGCTACGACTCTAGATCACATCTGGACCAACATAACCTCTCCGCTTACTTCAGGTATAATCACCGATAGCACTACAGACCATTACCCCACATTTCTCTTAACTAACATTAGCAAACCACCTCTAGAGACAAGGGAGTTAAGCTTTAGGCTGCACAATGAAACTGCTATAAACAATTTTATAACTGCTGCTGATAATGTCAACTGGGAGTCCGAGTTAGGTAACATAGGGGACATCAACCTAGCAGTGAAATCTTTTCTACAAACAACTCTTAGCCTTTATAACACCCACTGTCCTATGCTTACAAAACAAGTCACAAGCAAAAGACTTAACAATCCTTGGCTTACAAAGGGAATACTTAAATCCATTAACAAAAAACACGACCTTGAGAAGAAGTATAGGCTAGGAACAGTCTCCAAAGAATTCTCAAAGAATTACTCGTTATTGCTATCTAAAATAATTAGACGAGCCAAAACTAAATACTATGAAGATAAATTTACCCAAATAAAGAGCAACATTAAAAAAACTTGGAGCACAATTTCACAAATATTGGGATCAAAGAAGATTTTAAATAACAAACCAACACTCCTTTCCAATAACGTTGGTCAGCTTTCAGCCTCTGATTCTGCTATTGAGTTCAATAGGTTCTTCTCTTCCATTGGGTCATCCCTTGCAAATGATATTCCATCTTCCTGTACTGATGTTAAGGACTATCTTACAGGTAACTATCCACAGTCTCTGTACCTAAAGCCTACTAGTTCCACTGATGTCAATGAAATAATCCTTTCCCTTAAAACCAAGTCTAGTGCCCTCGAGGAGATACCAACTTTAATTTACAAAAAAGCCTCCAGATCTCTAGCCCCTGCTATTGCATTGCTCTTCAACAAGTCACTTGAACTCCAAACCTTTCCTGACATTCTAAAAAAAGCAAGAGTAACCCCTGTCTACAAATGTGGTGATCTCACTGATGTTAACAACTACAGACCTATATCAATCCTGCCTAACTTGTCAAAAATATTCGAAAAGCTAATCTACAAGCAGCTTTACTCTTTTCTAGCCAAACACAATATACTTAGCTCTTGTCAATATGGCTTCAGACCCAAAAAAAGCACTAACGATGCACTTATTAGTATGATTAACTTAATTCACGCAGCTCTTGATAAAAAGGAGTTTCCTGTTGGGTTATTTGTGGACCTGCGTAAGGCTTTTGACACTGTCAACCATCAAAACCTTCTTCTTAAATTACATCATTATGGAGTCAGAGGACACTCCCTGCAATACCTCAAATCTTATCTTACTGACAGGCTCCAGTATGTTTCTGTGAATAATACAATTTCTCCCACCCTACCCATCAACATTGGTGTTCCTCAGGGCAGCATACTTGGCCCTCTCCTCTTTCTCATCTACATTAATGACCTTCCAAATGCCTCCCAACACCTCAAACCAATTCTATTTGCTGACGACACAACCTTCATTTACTCCAGTCCTGACCCCCTTGCTCTAAATGCCACAGTAAATACTGAGCTAGAGAAAGTCCATCTTTGGCTAACTGCCAACAAACTCACCCTTAACATTGACAAAACGTTTTATATTCTGTTTGGCAATAAATCCTCTAATCAGATAAATCTCAAAATAAACAATACCCAAATTTGTAACAAATTAGATGGCAAATTCCTTGGCGTTCTCATCGACCACAAGCTGAATTTCCAGGGTCACATTCTAAATATATCAAAAAAAGTTTCAAAAACTGTTGGCATTCTTTCTAAGATCAGATATTATGTACCCCGCCCTGCCCTGGTTACTCTCTATTACTCCCTCATCTATCCATACCTCAACTATGGTATTTGTGCTTGGGGTTCTACTACCCAAAATCATTTACGTCCTCTTATTACCCAACACAAAGCTGCTATTAGGACAATATCCAACTCTGGCCCCAGACATCACTCGGTACCCTTACTCAAATCTCTGAATATGTTAGATATTAAGTCACTGCACATTCTCTCTTGTGTATTATACATATATAAAACGCTGAACTGTAATGCCAATCCTGACCTCAAAAGCTTCATTGAAGGTTGTAACAGAACCCATGAGCACCACACCAGGAATAAATACAGTTTTGATATTCCTAGAGTACGACTTAATCAAACTAGAAATGCTCTACAAATCAAGGGACCCAGAATGTGGAATGACCTTCCCAACCATGTTAAAGACTGTACCTCTCTCAACCAGTTTAAGATAAAAACTAAACACTACCTAATAAATTCCCTGTAACCCACCTCACTCCTTTATTGTCAACCCATGTCTGTTATTTTATTATTATTATTTTTTTTTAATCAACACTGTTTGTCAACCTATTGTATTTGTGCTGCTTTTTCAGTCATGTTCCCCCTTTTTTTTTATCTTTATTTGTATTTGTTTTCAACACTTTTTATTCTTTATGCTCAATTAGTATTAAGTTCTAGATATTAATGTTTTTCTTGCCCGAAACGCATTGCGTAATAGTGGCTTTAGGCATTGTATGTACTAGCTCTATCTATATATCAATCCATTAATGTAACATCACTTGTATGTATGTACCTTACCTGAATAAACATATTTATTTGTATTTATTTATATTTATTTATTTAAGTGGCCTGACATCTGGGGAGGAAGCAGAGCAAGTATTTTCCTAACTTTCAAGATATAACAACAACACTTAAGAACATGCTTAAAGCTGGTATGTGTTAATTTTTTTTTAATCTAGTTCTAAATTTTGTACCTTTAATCAAATCAGTACAATGGTAATATTTTATGGTTATATATATCCAGATAATGTTATAAAATAATATAAGAATATAGGAAATTGCAGAAAGGCATTTTGGCTCATATAAAGTAGCATTATACTCATATGCAACCAACATATACATGTATAATCCTTGTTTGAAAAATCAAGTTGTCCCTGTTTTTATGCTTTCTTTCACATCCTGATATTTTTAATCTTATTACTCTACCACTATTTTTGAGCTCTTGGTTTCCTCTGAAATAACAATTAATTCATTCCACTTAAGACAGCATCAATATCATCATCCTTTTACTTTCCAATCAGTATTTTGAGACACAGTATTAAGATGTCAATGAATAACTAAATTTATTTCCACAGAGCGTACAGAAGAACTGACAGAGGGGGCACTCTTTTGGAATCACAGAAAAATTAATGGAATGCGTCGGGCATTAGTTGCCAGATTCAGAAAGGTATTAACATATGAATTGTTCTATACAATGAAAATATAGAATTATATATAAATATACAATTGTTCTATACAATGAATCAAGTGTATATACATGTTTTTATTTATCTTTAATCTTATTATAAGACACTAATGGTATTTTCTTCTCGTAGACAAAGTAAAATTGGATAAAAACCCACTTGTGTATTTGGGAAATTTATGTAAAGAATTACACCAAGTCTTTCACACACTCCTTGGTGTGTGAAAGAGAATCGACTTGAGAATGGTCCAGGACGGACCGAAGCGTCGTCGTCCCTTCAATTTCTAGTGTGTGGTCTGGTCAACACACTCCTTGGTGCTTTGTCAAGGTCTGAATCTGAAAAACACATACTCAGACCTTGACAAAGCACGAAGGATAGTTCAAAAGACTTTGTTAAACTCTGAACATAAATTTTACAATAAATATGATGGCATTTATTTTTAAATAGGCCACAGAGACAGCTGCAGCAGTTTCAAATGAGATTCACAGGCTTAATGTTCCAGAATCTGTTATTGAGAAATGGAGATCAGAATTACTGATCATTGCAAGATCCTTAAATAACAGATCCTCTGCCAATAACATTGAGCATACTATCGAGGCATATGGAGAGAATATAAGGCATCGCAAAAATCAGATTACCACTTATGCAGGTAGACATTAATTGCTTTTTTGTTTGTTCACTGAAACCTAAACATTAATACAGTACACAGTTGTTAAATTAGTTTTTCTATGTAAAATACTATTGGTGCAAATCAAATATTTGATAACAACCTGAAACTTTACAGTTTCATCTAAAATGAGAGCTGTATTGAGAAACAAAAATGAAGTTGAGAAAAAAAACTACGAGATCTCATAAAAATCTACAATCAGAACCTTCCGGATTTATCTGAAGCAGATGTTTTAACTGGCATCCTTCCATGGCACAATTTATTGCTTCATTAAAACACAAGTGGTATTAACACAAGATCTAATGATTCATTAGTTTTCTCAGCATTTTCAAATATTTATATATAATTTGTATTAATTGTACTTTTATATATGGAAAGACTGCAATACCATTAAATTGAGTTTATTTCCAAAGGTAAATTTTATAGATACAATTTTTAATGATGTTTAATTCACAAATGATTCCCATTATCATAATTTGTCAATCACATACTGTATTTTCATTTTGCATTATAGTGTCCCTGACTGAAAAAAGAAGTGCAGTGGAAAAGTTTGAGCTCCAGAAGAGATGTAGAGAGGAGGAATCACTAACCATTCAAGAAATGATAACATGGTTACAGTACTACAAAAAGAAAAGGGACAAACTATCCGAGTATATTCAAGAATTACAATGTGATTCTTTCCCTTCATGTCTCTGCAAGGTAAGAAATTCAAAATACTTTTTGCAATTTTTTTTTTTTTTTTTTTTTTTTTTTTTTTTGAGATATATACAAGAGTTGTCACATTCTTGTACAGCCACTAGTACGCGTAGCGTTTCGGGCAAGTCCTTAATCCTATGGTCCCTGGAATACGATCCCCTGCCGCGAAGAATCGTTTTTTCATCCAAGTACACATTTTACTGTTGCGTTAAACAAAGGCTACAGTTAAGGAATTGCGCCCAGTAAATCCTCCCCGGCCAGGATACGAACCCATGACATAGCGCTCGCGGAACGCCAGGCGAGTGTCTTACCACTACACCATGGAGACTGCAAAGACTTCCATTTAGATCTTCAAAACACTCAACTCACTTAAATGTGTTCAATTAGTCAGAGTAATATTGCCATCACCTTTCACATTTAAACTATGAAACACTTCCATTTTCAAGAGTGGTACTGTGGAGAATATGGCTTTTATTATTATTTGTATCCTTTTGTTTTACTTAATCTATACTTTTATATATTTGCATTATGTACAACTAAATAGGTACAGTATATATATTTGACTCTAAGATGTTTTAAATATTATATTCCAGGATTCTAACACGTACACCATTGAAAACCCAATTCTGTCAGAAGAAGAGAAACGTGGATTATTGGCTCTTCTCAATCAGAGTCAAAAGCAATGTGCTGACAAGCTTACTGAAGCCAAACATTTATTTAGTTCCTACCAGCCAAATGAGGTCTATGAGCCTTTCTTGGAGCTCTTAGAAAGTGATGAAGATGAAGACATGTATTTACAAAATGAATAGATACAAATGAACAAATCCACAAGGGCCATGATGAGGGTTCGAACCTATGTCCGAGAGGATCCCACACGAGCCTTAATGGACTGTGTTACGACATGGCAAAAGAATTCCAACCGGGAGTTCAACTGACCTCAATCATAGATTTAAGGCATCACGCTATTGTGATTTATGTATTTAACAAATAGATACAAGATAGGCTTTTAAATTTTTAAATTTTTATTTACTTACTTTTGTCCTGTTGCTTGGTTACATGAATTGACCACACAAATTATGTTGCTTAGTTACAGAGATTCTTATAACTACATGAATTTTGTTGTTCATTTATAAGCCCATTATGTGCCTCTAAAAATTTCCACTGCCACTCACAGGATGGGTATGTTGTGCATAATAAATAAACTAAACTAATATTTTATATGCATATACTTTTGTCTTTTAATACAATAAAACTGGATTATATTAAAATATTTTCCTCATGCTGTGTTTTTCTCAACCCTCTGAAACTATCACTGGAAAAAAAAGTGGTAGCCAAGAGGAGGATTCGAACCCCTCACTTGGTACTCTCAAGCTAGCACTGTAGACCACCATGCAACTACTTTGTGAAAATTAATGCCACCTGGGATACCACTGAATCCTCTAATTAAATCCAATTCTCAATGATACATCACATCAATATGATTTCATAATACAAAGGCATGCATACTCTCAATATAAAATACCTTAAACACTCAAGTGAGTGTTGTGTATTGATGTGTGATTTAAAAGTTGAGTAGGTATGGAGGACAAGTACTGGGCTTTATTTTTTGGGATGGTAAAAAATTAAGTCAAAATGTTTATTCAGGTAAATGTACATACATAGATGAGTTATAAACATAATGTTGGATTTATAGATAGAGCTACTGCATACAATACCTAAACCCATTAATGTGCACAGCGTTTCGGGCAAGGTTTGGGTGTCACATTTCATGATTGCTTGAGAGAGGGGGAAGGAAAGAGAGAGAAATGGGGAGATGGAGGCAACGGGTATTTGAGGCTGAAATACGCAGAGTAGAAAGCTTTCAATAGAAATAGCAGCAGTAAAAATTCGTCCTGAAATGTCATAAAGTACAGGGGTCGTAAGAAGACTTTGAGAAGACTGCCTACAGATATCATAAGGACTTCCAACCATTCGCCGTGCTGGAGGACGAATGAACGTCGTCATTCCTTCCTTTTCTAGTGTGTGGATTGGTCAACATAAGGGAGGAATCCTGATTATATGTGGCATATTTAGTCGAGAATACAGACGTATGTAGGTGAAACCTTGCTGAACAATGAAATTAGGCCACTCCTAATTTTCCCTCTCCTAAACTCCTAAACTAAACTTTCCCTCTCCTAAACTCGCCCCTCCTAAACTCCCTCCACTCCTAACAGCAAATCTTGCAAAAAACAAACTCCTAAATAGCACCTGCTTATCAGTTTACAATCAAAATGTTAGGTCACTTGGCAAACATTTTGATGATATGCACTGTAAGTGCATGATGTGATGTAAGTGCACTACTTACAGCACTAGGTACTAAATTATCTTTCATCATTTTAACAGAAACTTGGCTAAGTAATGACTATACCCAACTCTACAATTTAGCTGGTTATAAAGCCATTCATAAATGCAGGCCTAACAAAAAAGGTGGCGGTACAGCAATATATTACAAAGATACCTTCATTTGCAATAGTGTCATTAGTGATAGAGACGACTATTGTGAATATACCTTTGCCAAGTTCTCCAGTAAATCCCTTAAATCCTCCCTGATAATCGGTGCCATCTATACATTTCCTAATACCAACATAGCTTTATTCTCTGACAATGTAAGGAATCTTATCATAAATAACAATCTCAACAAAAATCACATTATTCTGGGAGGTGATTTCAATATTGACCTGGGTCTTCAAAACAACCCTCAAGTTGACTATTTCCGTAACAGCATGCACTCCTGTATGCTAATCCCCACAATCACCAAGCCCACCCGAGTCACTCAAACATCTGCCACTACCCTGGATCACCTATGGACTAATATAACAGCTCCCCTTACATCTGGGGTAATTTATGACAAAACAACTGACCACTATCCTACTTTCCTCATAGCAAACATTGACACATCACCACCAGAAACCATAAAACTTTCATTCAGGCTACACAGTGAATCAGCTTTAGGCAATCTCTCTAATGCACTTCACAATATTAACTGGGAATCGGAATTTAATAATTCACAGGATATAAACTCATCAACTAACCTCTTTCTCACCAAACCTCTAAGCCTCTACAACACTCACTGTCCCCTCCTTACCAAACAAGTAACTGATAAAAGAAAAAATAACCCGTGGCTCACAAGTGGCATAATTAAATCAATCAACAAAAAACATGAATACGAAAAGAAATTTAGGAGTGGCCTAATTTCAATGGAAGTAGTTAAAAGGTACTCATCAGTGCTTACCAGTATCATAAGAAAAGCAAAACTTTCATATTATGAGACTAGATTCAAAGAAGCAGGAGGCAACATGAAAAGCACATGGAATACCATCTCTAACATCCTGGGAACTAAACAACACTCCCACAACCAGATAACACTCTCTAAGGATGGCCTTATACTGTCATCTGACTTAGAAATGGCGAATGAATTTAATAGCTTCTTTTCATCGATTGGTGCTAACCTTGCAAGTAAAATCCCACAGACTCAGACACATATCAACACATATCTCTTAGGCAGCTATCCAAACTCTCTTCTCCTCTCACCAGTCAGCCCGTCAGATGTTGTGTCCATCATACACTCACTAAAAACCAAAGCTGGGAACATCAGTGAAATCCCATCTATTGTATACAAGATCGCCTCCCATGCCCTTGCACCACCTATAGCTCTGCTGTGGGAACAGTGCACTTGTTATGGTTTTCGCTAGCTTTGTTTCTGTGAGTGCTATTATGTCTGGGTTTTCCTCTAGTACCCATTCTCCAAGCTCATTTGTTTTATTTGTAATTCCATCTATTGTTATGTACATTGTACATTGCCCTGAGGCTCATATTCTTCTGTTCCTCCTCAAATCGCCTCCTTGGTGAATGTTCTGCTGGTGGGGAAAGCTGTTCCATGGGTGTGAGGAATTGTGTGGATAACAGGGTCTCAGAGGATACTGGGATGAGGGGCGGAGGGTCAAGAGAATGGGGAGGGGGAGGGACAGGGAGGGTATGGGATGAAGGGGGAGGGAGTACTTGAAGGAAAAGGGGGGAGGGGGGACATGGCGGGAGAAGGGGAGGGGTAGCAGGGTGGGAATGGGGTGTGGGGGGAAGGGAGATTTGGCTGAGCATTTGAGTGGGGGTAGGGAGGGTTTGGGGTAGGGGGGTTTTCTATGCAGAGGAGGATGGTGTGGTTGCCCTTGTTACGTACCTCTCTAAGATACGTAATTAAATAAATTAATTTGTACTTATATATGCTTAGTGTAATAAATGATTACATGTATGTCCATTTATATATGCGTAAAATATGTACATTGATAATTGTATACAAATTGCATGTTATATATTATATTGTTGTATGTTGGAGTTAGGCCCAACGTACCGTGGGATGATTTGCTTTTTTCTTTGTGTGCTCGGGTTTCCCGTGGGAAACTAATAATTTGTATGATCATAAGTGGATAACAATAGGTGAATTATAATTGTTGAACCTGAGTTGGCAAATTGTTCGTGGGAGAGTCAGTTGCTGGGTGGGCATGCAATCATTCCCCTGTGTTTGTGTTATTTTAATTACTGTATAAAGCAATAATTACCTTATTTTTGTTATACATATTATTCTAACCAATTACTAAGTTAGTTTAAGATTACTCTTGTTACAATATATTGCTCCATGTAAATTTTATAAATACTTGTAACTTTGGATATTTTTCGCGGGGCAGATGTTATGATTTCTAGTGCTGTCACTTATGTAGGTCAGTAGCTTCAAAGGCCCAGGAGGAGTAACATCTGTGGGAGTTAAGTTTGAGATTCTGCTTTGTCATTTAGTAGATCTGTATTCTGGGAGAGACAGTATTTTGATTTTTGTTTAACAGTGAAATATTGGTCCATCTGTACTTTATATGATATTGATTATATTGTTAATATATATATTAAAATAAAATTTATATGGATATTTCTTCAGTCCTAAAGGAAAATTTTACTTTATGACGACATTTTTACACAGGTACCTGATGTCAGACATCTGCAGGAGCTGAAAGAGTCATTTGAGCAGAATTCTGTATTGCGTTTCAGTTACCAGATGGAGAAGGACGGAAAGCTGCCCTTTCTAGATGTAACAGTCATGGAAAAGAGCGGAGGTTTCCACACTGCAGTCTACACGAAGGAAACGAACATAGGAATGTGCCTAAATGCCAACAGTGACTGCCCAGACAGGTAAAAGAGGAGTGTTGTTAATGCTTATGTCGACCGTGCTCTCAGTCACAGCTCAGGATGGAAGCAAGTAGATGAAGAACTCTGTAGGGTAAAGCAGGTTCTAGTCAACAACGGCTTCTCCAATGGTTTCGTTGAAGATATCATAAGAAGGAAGGTGAAACGCCAAGCAACACCTGAAGAGACAACTAACACAACACCTATACCCCCTGTTAGACTATCTTACAGGAACTTCTTTTCCACAGCTCATAAAACGGAGGAAAGGGTCCTGAAAGATATTGTTAATAGAAACGTTATCCCTACAGACAAAAATCAGAACATACAACTGACGATCTACTATGAAACCAAAAAAACGGCCAGCCTACTCATGAGAAACTCTCCAGACACAAAGCCGAACGCTTTAAAACAGACCAACGTCGTCTATGCCTTCAAATGCCCACTTGGGGACTGTAAGCTCAAAGAACTCAGTATATAGGCAAGACAACAACATCTCTTTCTAGGCGATTAACGATGCATAAGCAACAGGGCTCCATTAAGGAATATATAATCTCTTCCCACAACCAAACCATCACCAGCTAAATCTTAGCAAACAACACAGAAATCATCGATAGATATAGCGATAGCAGGCGGCTTGACATCTATGAGGATCTACACATCAAGAAGTGAACACCAGCAATCAACAGTCAGTTAATGCACAACTATATTCTTCCCACCTCAAGACTCCTCTCCAATATAGAAGCATCAAGAAATATGGGCCAATTGGCGTTAATGCCACATCACCCCTCCCACCTCACTCAAATGTAGATATAAAATCAGAGATACGTAATTCTAATCAGTTGTGTATTTGTGAAGTCTTTGAAAATGTAATAAGTTTTACGAAACGCGCCCGTGTCGCGTCAGACTAGAAATAAAAATGAATTTTGGAGAAGTGATTTTGATTTACCTCCAACAGTGAAGCGTAATGTACGAAAGATTGAGAAAATTCGTGTTAGAATTATTAATCTTACTTTTTCGGTCATATTTAATAATATATATATATATATATATATATATATATATATATATATATATATATATATATATATATATATATATATATATGTATATATATATATATATTGTGTCCTCTTAATGTTTATTTTTGTATAAAATCAGATATGTAACTGTATAACCTTGCATAATGAAAGTGTAGGCTCTGGGTCCCATATTGCACCAGAGGTGGAGAAGAAAATAATGAGTACTCAGAGAAGACCTTGTGGATCCTCACTGAAAATTTTTATATTTTCTTCCCCTACCACCGCTATTCTTTTAGTGTGTGTCTGTATATATATCTAACTTTATTTAAAATTTCATTACACAAGAAGGGTTACAACATTGGTTACATGCAAGGTACAAGACTACTTGTCACAAGTTGTACAGCTCCTCAGATGGCGGGCATGAACCATGGATGCAGTGAGCATTTCCTCTCTGGATCGCCACACTAAGGCGCTGAAACAGAAAACTGGCGGCTCTAGGGTCTCTAGTTGTTTCAATTAGCTTGGACCCCAGTTCCTTAAAAAAACTTACAGCACTATTACCCTAGGCCTCGTAGCCTGGTGGATAGCGCACAGGGCTCGTAATTCTGTGGCGCGGGTTCGATTCCCGCACGAGGCAGAAACAAATGGGCAAAGTTTCTTTCACCCTGAATGCCCCTGTTACCTAGCAGTAAAATAGGTATCTGGGTGTTAGTCAGCTGTCACGGGCTGCTTCCTGGGGGTGGAGACCTGGTCGAGGACCGGGCCGCGGGGACACTAAAACCCCGAAATCATCTCAAGATAACCAAGATAGGCACCAAGTGTCTCTAAGGCAATGGAGACAAAATTGTAGTGGTGATCAAGGTCTCTATATTTACGTGACTTGGCTGCTTCCCTGTGATTGGCAGCACCTCCTGCCTGTGCAGCACTGAAGTTAACATAGGTGTCGGCTAAGGTTGAAATAGTCTAGACCTACACCAACTGTGTACCATTCTTCCAGGGGTTATCCGTGATCCCGTCTGGGCGACCGACATGCTCATCTGAGTTATGGGGCATTAGGTAACGGGGCTCTCTCCCTCTGCTGGACAACCGGCCGTGGTAAGGCTTCTCTTGATAATATTGTTAACCTCGCCGTGTCTTGCATGCCATCCTCCTGTCCTTTGGCAGAGAAGCCCATGCCGTCCGTACCTGTCAGCCACTGCCTCGCCGTATATATATATATATATATATATATATATATATATATATATATATATATATATATATATATATTATATATATATATATATATATACATATATATATATATGCGAACAAGCCTGAATGGCTTGTGACACATCCGAGTGCCGGCGGTGGGGTGGTTCAAATAGCCTCGGCTATCACCTCATTATGTCCGGTCGTGATGGTCAAGTGGATTAAGGCGTCTTGTACATACCAGTTGCGTTGCTCCTGGGAGTATGGGTTCGAGTCACTTCTGGGGTGTGAGTTTTCAGTTATATATATATATATATATATATATATATATATATATATATATATATATATATATATATATATATATATATATATATATATATATATATATATATATATATATATATATATATATATATATATATATATATATATATATATATATATATATATATATATATAGTTATATACAACTGAAAACTCACACCCCAGAAGTGAATCGAACCCATACTGCCAGGAGCACTCTGCTGGCGTACAGGACACCTTAATCACTCGACCAACTCAACCGGACAGAAGGGAATGGTAGCCGAGGCAATTTCCATCCCCCACCGGCACTCGGTTGGTAATCCTGGGCATGGTATTTTAACAAATCACCTCATTCTTTGGGACACACGTGAGGAACACAAATGCAAACAAGCCTGAATGGTCCCCAGGACTATATGCAACTGAAAACTCACACCCCAGAAGTGACTCGAACTTGAAAATGAAATAATTATTATTGTGATTCTTTTATTATGCACAAGAGGTGCTGGGCTAATATAATATGAACAGTTTGTTTGGGAGAATAGCATGGTTATACAGGAGCTCAAGGTACAGGAGCTCCTGTACGAGCATTCTTTTGCCGCTGGTGAACATGGTTATACAGGAGCTCCAGGCACAAGATGAACATTCTTGTGTCACTGGTGAACATGGTTATACAGGAGCCCCAGGCACAAGATGAACATTCTTGTGTCACTGGTGAACATGGTTATACAGGAGCTCCAGGCACAAGATGAACATTCTTGTGTCACTGGTGAACATGGTTATACAGGAGCCCCAGGCACAAGATGAACATTCTTGTGTCACTGGTGAACATGGTTATACAGGAGCTCCAGGCACAAGTTAAACATTCTTGTGTCACCGGTGAACATGGTTATACAGGTGCTCCAGGCACAAGATGAACATTCTTGTGTCACCGGTGAACATGGTTATACAGGTGCTCCAGGCACAAGATGAACATTCTTGTGTCACCGGTGAACATGGTTATACAGGTGCTCCAGCACAAGATGAACATTCTTGTGTCACTGATGAACATGGTTATACAGGAGCTCCAGGCACAGGACGAACAGACTGAGAGCGAGGCCGCAAGCCAACAGGAAGAACATTCCCTGAGAGAGAGTTTCATTATTTAGGATATTATAACAACGTCTTAACTCTTTTAAAGCTGACTGGAAAAGTTTACCCATTTCAATAAATTACATAAACGCTGAAAGTCACAGAGTCAGAAGTATCGTAAATAATGAGAGGTATATTACCCATATGTCAGCAACTGACAGTGAAGCCTGGATTACTATCTTGGTTGGAAGGTTGTCACAGGCAGTAAAGTTTGGTATTGTGGTTTTTACCCAATGATTGTACAGTCCGGATTCAAGCATCATCGTGATCCTTATGGGTGTAATAAATATTATAAACTCTCTCAATATTATATTTTATATATAATCCAAAAATATATATAACATACATTTAAATAAAATATATATTAAACATGAAATATATTAACTGGGAATGAAATATATTTCATAATATTTTGTCAAAATTTCAAACAAAAAACTATCGGAATATTCCAAGAAAATTATAATGCAGCTTCTAATATTTTTTGTTGACGTAAAAGTTTGAGGCAGAGGCATTAGGGACCCAAAGTAGTGAGAGGTATTAGAGTTAAAATTCCATGAAGAATTAAGTAATGCAAGGATTTTCGTAATCGAGAGAGACTTTGAAATATTGCCCTATATTCTCATTAGTCAGCTGAAATTGTGTTTTTTTACCTTTTGCTGAAGACGGGCACGAGACAGTTGCCCTTAGAGAAAGCTAAAGAGTACATAAGCGGCAGGAACCCCTCCCGGCCCAAGTAAAAGTCACACTGACCTAAAAGACAACACATATAATTTTGAATACTTATTCTGAATTATAGACGTGCAGTAACCATATTGTCGCAGCTGCAATGACAGGATCTGTCGACCAACATCAACCACCTATTCTGTTGAAACAGAACATCGAAGGAACACACTTGCCACATCACGCATGGATATCACTGTGCATTAGGGATATATATATATATATAAATATATATATATATATATATATATATATATATATATATATATATATATATATATATATATATATATATATATATAAATATATATATATATATACATATATATATATATATATATATATATATATATATATATACATATATATATATATATATATATATATATATATATATATATATATATATATATATATATATATATATATATATATGTATATATATATATATATATATATATATATATATATATATATATATATATATATATATATATATATATATATATATATATATATATATATATATATATATATATATATATATATATATATATATATATATATATATATATATATATATGCGAACAAGCCTGAATTTGTGTTCCTCACGTGTGCCCCAAAGAATGAGGTGATTTGGTAAAATGCTATGCCCAAGATTACTATCCGAGTGCCGGCGGTGGGGTGGTTCAAATAGCCTCAGCTATCACCTCATTATGTCCGGTCGTGATAGTCAAGTGGATTAAGGCGTCTTGTACATACCAGTTGCGTGGCTCCTGGGAGTATGGGTTCGAGTCACTTCTGGGGTGTGAGTTTTCAGTTGCATATTGTCCTGGGGACCATTCAGGCTTGTTCGCATTTGTGTTCCTCACGTGTGCCCCAAAGAATGAGGTGATTTGGTAAAATGCTATGCCCAAGATTACTATCCGAGTGCCGGCGGTGGGGTGGTTCAAATAGCCTCGGCTATCACCTCATTATGTCCGGTCGTGATAGTCAAGTGGATTAAGGCGTCTTGTACATACCAGTTGCGTGGCTCCTGGGAGTATGGGTTCGAGTCACTTCTGGGGTGTGAGTTTTCAGTTGCATATTGTCCTGGGGACCATTCAGGCTTGTTCGCATTTGTGTTCCTCACGTGTGCCCCAAAGAATGAGGTGATTTGGTAAAATGCTATGCCCAAGATTACTATCCGAGTGCCGGCGGTGGGGTGGTTCAAATAGCCTCGGCTATCACCTCATTATGTCCGGTCGTGATGGTCAAGTGGATTAAGGCGTCTTGTACATACCAGTTGCGTGGCTCCTGGGAGTATGGGTTCGAGTCACTTCTGGGGTGTGAGTTTTCAGTTGCATATTGTCCAGGGGACCATTCAGGCTTGTTCGCATATATATGTATATATATATATATATATATATATATATATATATATATATATATATATATATATATATATATATATATATATATATATATATATATATATGTCGTACCTAGTAGCCAGAACGCACTTCTCAGCCTACTATGCAAGGCCCGATTTGCCTAATAAGCCAAGTTTTCATGAATTAATTGTTTTTCGACTACCTAACCTACCTAACCTAACCTAACCTAACTTTTTCGGCTACCTAACCTAACCTAACCTATAAAGATAGGTTAGGTTAGGTTAGGTAGGGTTGGTCAGGTTCGGTCATATATCTTCGTTAATTCTAACTCCATTAAATACATACATAATACATAATGAAATGGGTAGCTTTATCATTTCATAAGAAAAAAATTTGAGAAAATATAATAATTCAGGAAAACTTGGCTTATTAGGCAAATCGGGCCTTGCATAGTAGGCTGCGAAGTGCGTTCTGGCTACTAGGTACGACATATATATATATATATATATATATATATATATATATATATATATATATATATATATATATATATATATATATATATATATATATATATATATATATATATATATATATATATATATATATATGTCGTACCTAGTAGCCAGAACGTCGTACTCGGCCTACTATACAAAGGCCCGATTTGCCTAATAAGCCAAGTTTTCCGGAATTAATATATTTTCTCAAAGTTTTTTCTTATGAAATGATAAAGCTACCCATTTCATTATGTATGAGGTCAATTTTTTTTATTGGAGTTAAAATTAATGTAGATATATGACCGAACCTAACCAACCCTACCTAACCTAACCTAACCTATCTTTATAGGTTAGGCTAGGTTAGGTAGCCGAAAAAGTTAGGTTAGGTTAGGTTAGGTAGGTTAGGTAGTCAAAAAACAATTAATTCACGAAAACTTGGCTTATTAGGCAAATCGGGCCTTGCATAGTAGGCTGAGAAGTGAGTTCTGGCTACTAGGTACGACATATATATATATATATATATATATATATATATATATATATATATATATATATATATATATATATATATATATATATATATATATATATATATATATATATATATATATATATATATATATATATATATATATATATATATATATATATATATATATATATATATATATATATAGTATATTTTGGTAGCAGTCTTTCCTGTAGACATATATTATTAAATATGACCGAAAAAGTAAGATTAATAATTCTAACACGAATTTTCTCAATCTTTCGTACATTACGCTTCACTGTGGAGGTAAATCAAAAATCACTTCTCCAAAATTCATTTTTATTTCTAGTCTGACGCGACACGGGCGCGTTTCGTAAAACTTATTACATTTTCAAAGACTTCACAAATACACAACTGATTAGAACTTACGTATCTCTGAGTTTATATCTACATTTGAGTGAGGTGGGAAGGGTGATGTGGCATTAGAACAAGATGGGATATTAATAGGGTATTAAAAGTATCAACACAAGACAGAACAGAAACAATGGGTATTGAATAGAAGTGTTTGTAGAAAGCCTATTGGTCCATATTTCTTGATGCTTCTATATTGGAGTGGAGTCTTGAGGTGGGTAGAATATAGTTGTGCAATAATTGGCTGTTGATTGCTGGTGTTGACTTCTTGATGTGTAGTGCCTCGCAAACGTCAAGCCGCCTGCTATCGCTGTATCTATCGATGATTTCTGTGTTGTTTACTAGGATTTCTCTGGTGATGGTTTGGTTATGGGAAGAGATTATATGTTCCTTAATGGAGCCCTGTTGCTTATGCATCGTTAAACGCCTAGAAAGAGATGTTGTTGTCTTGCCTATATACTGGGTTTTTTGGAGCTTACAGTCCCCAAGTGGGCATTTGAAGGCATAGACGATGTTAGTCTCTTTTAAAGCGTTCTGTTTTGTGTCTGGAGAGTTTCTCATGAGTAGGGTGGCCGTTTTTCTGGTTTTATAGTAAATCGTCAGTTGTATCCTCTGATTTTTGTCTGTAGGGATAACGTTTCAATTAACAATATCTTTCAGGACCCTTTCCTCCGTTTTATGAGCTGTGGAAAAGAAGTTCCTGTAAAATAGTCTAATAGGGGGTATAGGTGTTGTGTTAGTTGTCTCTTCAGAGGTTGCATGGCTTTTCACTTTCCTTCTTATGATGTCTTCGATGAAACCATTGGAGAAGCCGTTATTGACTAGGACCTGCCTTACCCTACAGAGTTCTTCGTCGACTTGCTTCCATTCTGAGCTGTGGCTGAGAGCACGGTCGACGTATGTGTTAACAACACTCCTCTTGTACCTGTCAGGGCAGTCGCTGTTGGCATTTAGGCACATTCCTATGTTTGTTTCCTTAGTGTAGACTGCAGTCTACACTAAGGAAACAAACATAGGAATGTGCCTAAATGCCAACAGCGACTGCCCTGACAGGTACAAGAGGAGTGTTGTTAACGCATACGTCGACCGTGCTCTCAGCCACAGCTCAGAATGGAAGCAAGTCGACGAAGAACTCTGTAGGGTAAGGCAGGTCCTAGTCAATAACGGCTTCTCCAATGGTTTCATCGAAGACATCATAAGAAGGAAAGTGAAAAGCCATGCAACCTCTGAAGAGACAACTAACACAACACCTATCCCCCCTATTAGACTATTTTACAGGAACTTCTTTTCCACAGCTCATAAAACGGAGGAAAGGGTCCTGAAAGATATTGTTAATAGAAACGTTATCCCTACAGACAAAAATCAGAGGATACAACTGACGATTTACTATAAAACCAGAAAAAACGGCCAGCCTACTCATGAGAAACTCTCCAGACACAAAACAGAACGCTTCAAAAGAGACTAACGTCGTCTATGCCTTCAAATGCCCACTTGGGGACTGTAAGCTCCAAAAAACCCAGTATATAGGCAAGACAACAACATCTCTTTCTAGGCGTTTAACGATGCATAAGCAACAGGGCTCCATTAAGGAACATATAATCTCTTCCCATAACCAAACCATCGCCAGAGAAATCCTAGTAAACAACACAGAAATCATCGATAGATACAGCGATAGCAGGCGGCTTGACGTTTGCGAGGCACTACACATCAAGAAGTCAACACCAGCAATCAACAGCCAATTATTGCACAACTATATTCTACCCACCTCAAGACTCCACTCCAATATAGAAGCATCAAGAAATATGGACCAATTGGCTTTCTACAAACACTTCTATTCAATACCCATTGTTTCTGTTCTGTCTTGTGTTGATACTTTTAATACCCTATTAATATCCCATCTTGTTCTAATGCCACATCACCCTTCCCACCTCACTCAAATGTAGATATAAACTCAGAGATATGTAAGTTCTAATCAGTTGTGTATTTGTGAAGTCTTTGAAAATGTAATAAGTTTTACGAAACGCGCCCGTGTCGCGTCAGACTAGAAATAAAAATGAATTTTGGAGAAGTGATTTTTGATTTACCTCCAACAGTGAAGCGTAATGTACGAAAGATTGAGAAAATTCGTGTTAGAATTATTAATCTTACTTTTTTCGGTCATATTTAATAATATATATATATATATATATATATATGTCGTACCTAGTAGCCAGACTGCTACCAAAATATACTAATATTTTACCATAATATATACATATATTTTACCATACATATATATATATATGTATGTATATATATATATATATATATATATATATATATATATATATATATATATATATATATATATATATATATATATATATATATATATATATATATATATATATATATATATATATATATATATATATATATATATATATATATATATATATATATATATATATATATATATATATATATATATAGATAGATATGAATACTAAAATGGTCAAAAGTATCAATCTCAAGTATCCACTAACCTAGAAAGATATTAAGTAATTTGATGTATTATTTATATATGCAAGACTCCAGATAATTGAGTTTGTTTATATACAAACACTTATACAATATAATAAACACACGTGATTGGGTAGCAAACCTTTACGAGAGAAGTCTCGGGCCATTACAGCTCTTTCCAGAACTTCTTCTGATATGAGTAAGTAATGACCATTCCTTACAAGTGTGTTGATACTCCGAACGAACTCTGACGTCTTGATAAATTTTAGACGATTCTTTTGTTGTAGATCTGCGACATCTCGCAATATTCCAACCTTCGCAGTCTTCATGAAACCAGGAATATCATAACATATTATAAAAGTCTTTGTCCCTAAGTAGTAACTCATATTTTCATATTGTTTATTCCCCGAACATATTGAAAATATATATTATTTATTTTAAACTTTTCTATGACCCTTGGCTTAGAGAGCATAGGAAACATATCATGAAGGTCAACAGAAGGCTGCCAGGTACAAATTATCACAACTCTAGATAAGGAGCCTTCAAGACATCTTCTCTAAGATGTCTAAGGCAAAGGTCAGAGGAAGATATGAGGGGAATGAGAGGCATATTCTCTACCTTGGAGGCAGAAGCAATTAAAAATTATCACCTTACTATCCAGAAAGAATAAAAATATACGAGAGATTAGATAATATGATGAATGCGTCAAGAAATACATGTGTTTCACATTAATAAATTCTGGACATTTTTGTCTCATTAAGAATAGTAAAATATTAAAATTTCTATTAATTAGTTTTTGCAAGAAAAAGCAGATATGACTTACAGTAATATATACTGTTTTTGCAGCACCACTCTGAACCAGCAAAGTTACAGAGTGGTCGTCCACAATGTCGTGGAGGGACTGGAAGGGTTGAGGGATGTTTGTGACAGCCAAGAGTGCCATGAGGTTGCCTGCGTAGCTCTGCGTCAACACCACTGTCACCAGCCCCCACACTGCCAACACAACCCGCTCCCACCACCAGTCACTCTGAACAGATATACCTGTTGGGAAACATAATACCTGCGTTGTTTGTGTTTACCAATTTGTCATTATTGTAACTAATCGTTTGCATTATGAAAGCGATTTATATTAAACTGTTAGCACATTAAAGAAATCTATAAAATACAGTTATAAACTGCAATTCTGCATTTCGTATATAATATTTTCATCACACGGATCATCGGGCATTGAACACGAGCCAGCGTTTGCTGGTGGAGGTGTCCAGCCTCCAATCCTTCCGGAAGTTGGGCCTCTCTGTGTACATGTCTTGGATGCATGCAGGAAGCCGGTAGAGCGCACTGTGCTACCGAGGGTCGCCGCCCCGATGGAATGTGTGGGTGAGGATATGCCTGCTGGGCTGTGTGTGCAGCCGATTGTGCCAGTGGAGGATCACAGTATGGCGACTGCTGTGGTGGTAGAAGCGGCTCCCCAGGAGATGTCCCCATCTGCTTTGGAAAGCTGATCTGGTAAACATGCTTCACCAGTGAGGGCTCCAGGGGTGGGGAAGGATTGTAAAGGAGGTCCCAGGAAGCGTCTCTGGCTCTCTCGTCAATGGAAGGCGTGTGTCCCCCATAACAAGTTCAAGAAGCGTCGAGTCTGGCTCCTCCAGTGCCGGAACAGAAGAGAAGGACGAAAGCTGCCCAGATGCGTTCTGATGATTGTGTGGAACTTGTGGAGCATGTGGAGGATAAGCAGGGTGTGATGGTTGAGTCTGTGTTTGTAGCGGAATCGGTACAGCGTGAGATTGCTCCCTCCCGGGTACCGGCCTGGGGGGTTGTTTCGACTGGTAACAATGGTGGAGATGTCCAGTAATTTGCGTTTTGAAGCAGGGGTCCGTCGCCCCATACACTAAGGGATTTCCATTCTTCAACGTCTCCTGCTATTGAGGGTTCATAGTGTGTTTCCCGGTGTGAGTATCCGGTACCATCAAGGCAGCAGCCTCCTGAATGGACTTGATTTTAGAAGCCGTGACTCTGCTTTAGTTAGCATTTGTACATTCTGTTTTCATTTGTTGTTTGCTTGTATGTCTCGCGAGTTGGTAGTGTGTGGCTTCATGTTATAAAACCATGTTTCATGTCTCCGTGGGGCAGAGATGTCTCCTCTTTTTGCTTGCTTCGATAAAAGCTGTGTTTGCATGGTGTGCAGTTGTGATTTTGGAATGTACTCATTCCGTTCTTGTGTGTATCACTCTCCTCTGACCGCGGTCAGCAATATTATTTTATCCCTGTCGTACTGTGTTTTGGTTTTTACACTTTCCTCTGTTGTGATTTATTGTGTGTTATATATTTTTTCGTTTTCCGATATATTTTTACATGAATATCTGTGGGTTTTTTGTACGTTTCCCCTTGTTATTACTTATTTTGTGTCATATTTTTGTCATGTCTCAATGTTCCACAACATCTCTGGCCACAATGATTGCTGCAAAATCTCCATGAGCCACCTGGCCATCACTAATATTTATCTTGGGTTAATAATTTAATACCTTTAATAAAAAGGTATTAAAAATTTACCAGTTTACTGAGGCATATCAAGCAAGTCACCGTAACAACATAAGTATACAGTTCTCTAACACTGCTACTCTCATTACACAATAATATAGCTTTAATCAAAGCTCTTCGGAATCATTATCATGCACATGTCAAGTGCACACCCTATGAACTAGTTGTCACTAAGTTCCAATCCTAGTGCAGTGGCACACTAATTCTAGCATGCTACAAATCAAGAATACAGGATGGTGGTGCCACAATAATCAATTAGTAGGTGAGGAATGAGTATCAATCAGGACAAGACAATAGTCACTCCAGGTCATCAGCTACCTACCACATTTATGTCATACAAAAATATTACTCCACCACCTGTTCCACAAGAATGGTGTACACCGGTAGTTACGATTCTTCAAACAATAATATGGTTACATATATCCCAGAATCTTACAAGCTAATTAGACCATTAAAATGTGTCTCGAACGGGAGCAGGATTAAACGCGTCTGCCCCTTCTGACAAGCCAGCGAACAGTGAGGGCGGTGTCGCGGGCACAAGCGGGGCGTCCACTAAACCATCTCCGCGAATTAACCATCAATACTGGTTTAAACTTTAAAACTCTATGAACTGTACTTTACCATTGTTTGCCGCTCCGTGCATACATTGAATAAAAGTATTACAAAATACACTTCCCAGTAGAATATAAGATCAATATGTGAACACACAAGAGAACATATAATCATGTGCAAAAATATAAAGAGAGAGTTTCTATCTTCAATGTTGTTGTTGTTTAAGATTCGCTACCTGGAACAAAAAGTTCCAAGTAGCACGGGCTATGGTGAGCCTGTATTACCTCTTTTATCTTCAAGACTTGGTACTAATGATTCCGGCCGGTAAGCAAAGTGGGAGGTGGTAAGGGGAGGGAGATTAACTGAAGATTCAAAGAAATTGCCAAGTCAAACCACCACTCTCTTCTATAATACATTGTGAATTAATACATAATTCTAAGAAACTAAAAATGAAATATCATATATACAACAATCCCAAAACCCTGCTTTACATGTTGGTATTGCAATATTCATTAATCAGTATGTCTCAGCAACACTAGGCTACTGCTCTAAACTTCTACTATAGAATACATCAGTAAATATATATAGTATACACACTACAATGATACAGGAATAGTATATATGCATCAGAGGCAATAAAGGCAGTACTGGATACATTTTAGAGTATTGTCCAGAATCAATAATTTATATACAATGATATAAGGGAATACTAGGTTATACGGCCTTATATCACCATATGGTTTGATCTCAAAGTATAGCAATCATACCATGATCATACTGGTGTATCCGAGGTTCTCTCCAGCGAAAGAGATAAGTACATGGTGGCACATAGTGTACACATCCTTACTGGCATGGACTACAAAACAATATCATGAATTTGATATTCACAATCAACTATTAGTCATGAGCTGCAAAACATTAAGTGCAAGCCTAATAATACAGCATCGTAAAATACAGCATATATAATACAGCATTAAGTTTACATAGAACTACAAGTATATTAGCAATATATAAGCAAATACAATCAGGAAATTTTATGGTGGTCCCTCAAACTCAGGGTTTTCTCAGGAAAACACCTGGACAATGCATCAGCCAAAACATTAAATTCACCAGGAATATGATGTATGTGGTGTTCTGCCCTGAAAGGGTTGGGACTCTTGGGGCTTAAACTTCCAAACGAGAGCTCTGGTTGTGTCACCAGACTCTTGCGTACAGGCGGACAGTGTCATGCTAATAAGATTGCAGGTTTGTTTGGGTAGGAGTTTGTGGAGAAACTTCAAGGTTAGAGAAGACTTTAATGGAGGAACTTCGAGGCTAGAGTGTCCCCAATCACTCCCTGACGGAACAAACAACCGACCTTGGCAGCCACGCTGCCTCTACCATCGGTCGATAGCATTGGACACTGGAGTGCTAGTAATATATCTAGATCTCCCTGTACGCATCTTGATCTTGGAGAAGGATTCAGCATCACATATTTAGGGATGCGGCTCCAACACTGGCCTCGTTGTCTTGTATACACACCCTACTCGAGCTGCCGTGACTCCCCCAATCTCTCCTTGTTTGGAATGATCTACTAAATCTCCCTTTCGTGAATTAGTATCTTTTGTCATCCTGTCCGCAGCTGTGAATCTCTCTCTCTCCTGCTTTCTGGGGAACCTCACCATGACAAGAGCAAAAGCCAACTAACATATACATTTAATATACAAAGAAAACATATTCAAAACATAACATATAAAATAGAACAGTATCATACAATACTCTAACCTGCTAACACCCGGTAGCATCCCAATATCATATGCTGGCTTTACGAACTGTCCATATCAAGTGGCTGTTCAACTCTTGGTTTACCACTTACTACTCCCTCACTAAATGGGGCTGAAATCCTGTCACAACAATACTCTATCCTCAGCCCTAAAAGTCAGTCTACCCGAGGCAGCCAGTCTCCATACTGTGAAGTTTGCTGCAGCTGTTGTGACGTCGTCCCCCCGGAAGAACACTGTGGTGTGTTAGCCTGCCAGTGGAGTGGCAGTGAAAGGATTTACCCGGGACCGACTGTTGGAGACGATCATCCACTGGGGTATTGAGGACAGGAGGGTGATTTGTGATATCACACGAGACTCCTGTCTAGGGCGTACCCCTTTTATCGTTCGTGGAGTGGCCGTACCAGCCTTGGTGGCTCAGTACCTGCCAGCAGACCAGCTGGACGTATGGTTGACGGCCTCCACGACGGTGCCCCCAGTGGACCTGCGTTTTGGCTGACCTGTGGCCCGGGTAGGCTCGGCATTCTCAGAGGACACGTCGTGAGGCCACGAAGAAAGCACCAAGGACTCAGCACCAAGTGGTGTGGCACCAGCGTCTTCAGCAGAAGACCACGATGACGGATTAATCCCCTTGTATAATGTTAATACCCTCCCCAGTATATAAAACTCAGCTTGGGGCGGAAACACCAGAAACATTTGCGTAAGTATCCCCCAACAAAAGAAGATATCAATCTCTCTCACCTTACACTGCGTCTTGAATGCCAATAAGCATTCAGGCACTCCCCTTATACATTATGTGGGTCCACCGTGAACCTCTGTTCTGCTCCTAGAGGCTCACTACCAATATATATCACAAGGTCCTCTAAAATATTAGGAAAGGCATTTCTGCAGTTCTCAAAATCTGCTGCACAACAAAGTCCTAATCCCATATTAGTGACGCTTCACCACTGAATCTACAGAGATACGTGTAGCTCCTCTACATTGCTCAACTCCTCACAATGGAGATCTGCTCTACCACAGAGTTCAGCATATTCTTCTTCTCCAGCCTCCAAATTTCTTCATTAACTTCTTCTCTAGCCTCGAAATTCCTCCATCAACTTCTTCTCTAACCTTGACGTTTCTCCACGAACTCCTTCCCAAACATACCTGCAATCCCATTATCATGCCAATAAAAATGTTTTCCTAACAAAACATAATTAAATGTATTCACAGAATATGAACTCTTCCATCTCTTTAAACACGATTGCATTGCCGCGACGGTCCTCCCCAACCTGGGCGAGTCCACCCCGGGAACATGTCGAGACACGTCGCTGGGATGGGGGCCGCCGCCCTGGTCGTGAGGCTGGGGGGGGGGGGGTTCCCACCTCAGTCAGTCACTGACCTTAGGTGAGGGTGGACGCATCACTCCTCCCTCCAGCATGTTCTCCTATGTCTACTGTCTTATTTTAGCTCACTAGCTCAATAATAAGATTTACTATATACATAAACACTTGCCATGATTGCTGGGCACACGATCAAACACAGGCAACCACTGTAACAACTGTTTTATGAGCTTACCTCAAAATTCTCTGACGTGAGGATGATAACTCACTGGATCTCCAACATAACGCTTGATAGGCCGCCCACAAAATGATTCAAGACTGCCTCACACAACTTCCTCCAGTCCACGACCTGAGTTCACAACGTCACCTGTCAGGCTCCACATCAGAAATGCCTGCTTACTTCCATTCTCTTGACGAAGCAACACAATCAGAGTTCCACAAAGACGTGGCCAAACACTCACTTTCAGGCCGCCTCTAATTATCATAATCACAGAGAAATGGTGTACAAAGTCCCCAACAACTTCCTCACACTAGTGAACAAGTAGCCTTCGCTCCACCACTAACAAAGGGAACTATATTCTTCCTTATTCTGGAAGAATCAATGAAATACTACCACCTCTGACAACAATTGTGACTTATGTGAGGTCACGACCTCCTGCTTGTGCACTTCATGTATCCAAAGCATCAACATCGCACTTCACGTCACTTGTTACCAACGCCCATCCTCTGCTCATATCCTGAGATTACTCACTGACGTCTATTTAATTATTTAATATATGCATCTTTCCTCTGACCTCTCAAGTTCAGGTCAGGCAGGTAGAATCTCTCAGTGGGTAGATTCGTTCTACCAGGCTATAAGGGGCTATAACAGTGGAGAATAAATTCCTGCAAAAACATCGACCACCTGAAAATCTTCTGATTATTAAGTTTCAATCAATCTATGAATATTAAAAGTTTATGATCAGTATATACATCTTATTACTATAGTTATATAAGAATAACACCTTATTCACTTGTAAATAGATTTTAAACTTTATGCATGCCAAAACAAGAGCATAAGCCTCTTTTTCGTCTACACAATAATTCTTCTCTATACTTTGAAATTTTCGAAAGTAATAATATACCGGATCCTCTATACCATCAAGTCCAACTTAGAGTAAGACAGCACTTGCACCCAAATCGGAAGCATCTAAATACATTACAAATTGTTTATTTAGACCATCAAAGGCTTCTTGACACTGGGTAGTCCACTTAAACTTACTCATCTGCTGCAAAAAATCAGTCAGACGTGAAGCTACCATAGAAAAGCCTTTACAATACCTACGATAGTTGGCACTCATCCCCAAGAAGCGCTGTACCTGTTTCTTGTTGGTCAAGATAGGGTGGATAACAATGGCACTAATTTTATCCTGTAAAGGCATCACCTTACCTTGACCAACCTTGTACCCATGATAGAAAATAGTACCTCCGGCAAAATATAATTTCTGTGTATTTACAGTAAGTTTAGCATTCTTCAAAGTGGCAAACAACAATTTCAAACATTGTAAATGGTTTTGTCAGGAGTCACTGAATAAAACAATGTCGTCTAGGTATGCACGGCAATTGGGAATATCCTGCAACAGCAAATTCATTAATCTTTTGAATGTTGCTGGTGCATTCATAAGACGAAAAGGCATGACGTTACAATGGAAAACACCGGCAGGTGTAACAAATGCTAACATTTCACTGGCTCGATCTGACAAGGGCACTTGATAAAGTTTTGACAAATCGAGTTTTGAAATAAATTGACGGTAACCAAGCTGGTCAATACAATCGTCAAGCAAAGGTAAGGGGAAAATATCTACTTCAGTTACCTTATTCAATTCCCTTTAGTCAGTACACAGGCGCCACTTCCCATTCGGTTCAGGAACTAACAGGCAGGGCGAGCACCAGGAACTTTGACTAGGTTTAATTAGATCATGCTCTAGGAGGAGCTCCACTTCCCTCCTTATAATAGCCACATTAAGGGTTTTGCTAGTACATCAGCTCCCTTAATTGAGCTGACTAAAACAATAAATTAATTTGGAAACCAGAGCATGATACTGCTTATGCAAAATGAAAAAGTCAACTCATTACCACCCCAGTATTAGTAGTACCTGATTTTGATAAGGAGTGGGACGTACACACAGACGCCAGTGGCATAGAAATTGGTGGGTGTTTAATGCAACGCGATAATGTCAATCTTCCTCACCCAGTAGCCTATATTAGCAGGAAGGTTAAGGAGCCGGAGGTCCACTATTCTGCAATGGATCGGGAGACTTTGGCTGTAGTAGAAAGTGTCAGATACTTTGAGCCGTATCTTTTCCAACGTCCCTTTGTTCTTTACACAGATCACAAGACTTTAACTCGTATTTTTAAGAAAAGAACTAAGTGCCCTCGCATGTCACGGTGGTCTCATTAACTGTTTGCTCACTTATTCCAGATACTTTACAAGCCTGGACCGTCACATGTTGTGCCAGACACTTTGAGTAGAAACATCGTTAATATTAATGTAAACCTTAATATTGAAAATATTTCTAGTGAGAAAATGAGCGAATTCCAGATGAGCAAACCTAGGTGGAAAGATATTATTGAACATTTGGAAGGAGAAAAATATCCTTCAAAGTAACGTAATTTAGCCATACATGACTTTGACATGAGGGAGGGGGGTTCTGTTTAATGTAAAGGGACAGAAGGTTCGTGCAGTATTTCAGCTGGTTATCCCAGATGCATTAAGAACGTCGGGCATTGAGTCTCGGGCATTCGTTTAAAATTCCAGATCACCCGGGAATTTTTAAAACTCACATGAAAGCAAAGGCACTCTTTTAATTTCAGGGTATGTTAACAGAGGTCATAAACTTCTTTAAATTTTGCGATCACTGCCAAAGGAGAAAAGGTACCCCTTAAGGTACAAGCTCCATTGCAGGAATTCCCAGAAATTTTGGACCCCTTAGACCGGGTGGGAGCTGATTTGATTGATCTCCACCACAGTCATTCAGGCAATCGATAAGTGTTGGTGTTGGTGGACCATCTGTCTGGATACACCACACTGATTGCATTGCCTCAGAAAGATTCTTGTACTGTTGCAAAAGCGTTCTTGAATAGGTTCGTCACTGTATTCGACCCTCCAAAAGTGTTAGTTTCTGACCGAGGTCAGGAATTTAATGGGAATATTTTTAGAGAAGTATGTAAGATTTTAGAAACCAGCATTCACTACCACTTATCACTCTCAGGCTAACGTTATGAGAGATCGGACGGACCGGTCAGTTAAAGATATGCTTGCAATTCTTGCAGAGCATGATGCAAATTCATGGGACAAACACCTGCCCTATGTCCAGCTGGCTCTGAACACTGCCCTCCATCAGTTAATTAAAACCCAACCCGTTTTGCTTTTCACTGGTCATTCATGTAATTTCCCATCAGGTCTGTTTAACAGACATACCATTGTACAGGGGGATGATTATCCATCAGATGGCATAAATAAGATAAAAAATGCATGGAGAATTGCAGCTAGAGCTTCCAAAACAACACGAGACCGCTATGCTCAGCATTATGACAAGAATGTACTACCTCCTAAGTGTAAAGTAGGGAGTCTTGTGTTAAGAGTTAATGAAGCGGCTCCAGCCATTCAAAGTAGGAAACTTGCACCTAGATGACGGGGCCCTTATCGAGTAACTCAAAGAAAAGGTCCGGTTAATTTTATTATTAAAGGTATTTTTAAGGACCAAGTTGAGAGAACAATTCATATTAATAAGTTAAAACCTTTTCATGCGAGGGAGGAACTAGGGCTGCCTTCAGCAAGTCTAATTCCTGACCTGTCTACTGATTCAAGTACTGAGTCAGATGCAGAGGATGACCTGTCAAATCTCATTAGTAGTCAAGTTAAGAGTGCCGCTGAATTGTCAGATTAGGTACAGCCATGTACCTTAGCCCAAGCTCAGCTGCACAAGGGGTTGCACGGAAGGTGTACCGTCCCAATAGTATTGGGATAACAAGTATACGCCGGGAGATGACGTTGCCCAGGAGCAAAGGTAGGGCTCACCTGTCCTGTCATCATGCCATCCTCTTCAATGCCACTCGACACTCACTCCAAACGTGAGACACCGTGACACGTCGAAACTCTGTTCTACTGTGGCAGCCATAGTTAACGACCTTCCATCATGACTGTTGTGAGCGAGGAGAAGAGGTATACCCGGGTTCCTGTTAGCGGGGTTCACCTGAGACGAAAGCCAGCCAGCTGTCATTCAGCGCTGTCAGGTGAGGAAAATACGAGACCCTGTACTTTCTATGGTTTGGCAGTGGCAGGAAATGGAACTTCCAGAAGACCAGGATCTTCAAGCAACAGGAGGTAGTAGCCGAAATCTACAGCTCAACAAGATGTCGGCAATGAGAGAACTATAGAAAATCTTAATGGAAAATGTTTCACAAAAAATAAATTAAATTAAATGTTAAATTGTGTTAACTCCGAACAGTAGTTCAACTTTCAATTTTCCATCTTATAGTAAAATATCTTAATACCTTAGGAAAGTGACTCAGGGACAGTGTTAAATGTGGAAAACTAGAATTATGGGTGGAATAGATAAATAAATCTTGAAATTGAACATCTAGAAAACTGTTACTAGAAACTAACCCTGTCTCTAGATAAGCTTGTTATGACTGAACTGCTTCGGGAACCATCCAGTAGGTTCTCTAGAAACGTGGATAAGTTGTGGAACTTTGTCTAGATTTTTACTAGATCCTAGAAATTAATATGCATATATATATATTTTTTTTTTTGAAAACTTATTGACTTATTGGACTTATT